TATATATATATATATATATATATATATATATATATATATATATTTGAGAAAGGGAGGTTTCAATCACAGTTCATCAGACACATACCTTGATCCGATCGTCAAACTTTCCATTTTTTCTCTCTCCTCTTTTTCTCGTTTTTGGCGTTCCTCTTCGATTTTTTTCGCCTCTTCGGGATCAACTTCGCGGAATTGTCCCAATTTATTCCGTCTCTTCCAGGCTAGCACGGTGTCTGAAAGTTTACATGAAAAACACGGTAACAAATTCAACAGTTTCACTATTTTAGTATAAAACTCTAATTGGCATCGAAAAGCATTTTATCTAGGATAGCGTTCTTCTTCAGTCAACTAGGACGAAAAACCCCACAGCTAACAACAATTTTGATCTGATCAAGGTTAGGTGAAAGTGTTGTCAAGTTTCATGCCTTTCGTTGTTGCATTCCCTGTCTGGTCGAATGTAGAGGAGGCGCAAAGCGCATTTGATAGACTAAAAAGAGCTGTTACCACATTCCGTATGTGTTTTGCACCTTCAAGTACAAAGTCATGCTGTAAGACTGGGTGTCGCCGATTCCCGCTTTGAAACAATAATAGCTAGTAATAAGTTATAGTGTACCGCTTTTCCTACTTGAGTAATTGTGTGACTAGCGACAGAAACGCAGCAAAGGAGATAACCACCCGCATTACCAAGCAGCGTACGCAAAAATGAAACACTTTTGGCGTCGACGCGACGTTTCACTGAAGTTGAAGGTCGTGTATATTGTGCTAGCGTTCGTCCAGTTCTGCTTTATGGTTGTGAAACCTTGAATTTGCGAGTAGAAGATATCCATGGACTAGAAATTTATGATTATCGGTGTTTGCGTAATTTGGCCCACGTGGAATGGAGCGAACGGGTTAGTAATCTGGAGCTAAACCGTCGTGTGTCTGGGAATTTATTATCTAGCTCATAGAATTCAGATTAGGATACTTCATTGGCTAGGGCACGTATTGCATATTCTCAACTGTCGTCTGCCGATCCGCGCTTTATTCGCTGTAGGCGATCCGGACTAGAGGAAACTCTGTTAATGTCAATAGAAGGCATGGAGACGAGGCACGAAGGAATACTAAATGGACTAAATGTTTCGCGCCTTCCAGGCTGGGGTCCGAATGACTTCAAATGGTTGGTTGGACACACTGAAGGATATGGCAGCGAACTAACAGCAGTAACGTTCTTGTTGTCATTTTGTATCAGAAAAAATGTTTGAAACGGCATGTATGTACAGTTAGATTGTGTACTTTGTGTTCAATACAAAGGTTCACCTTCTTCCCACTCTCAGAATAGTTCAAACCCTTCTTTTAAATTCGTGTACACTGCGAGTTCGGCAGCGATTAGTGAAGTTCGCTTCATCGAACTTTGCTGATCCTGATGAGACTGCACCTTTCTTATTACACAGCAAAAAGGGTAAACCACACAGTCAATGGTGTATTGGCCTCCGAAACCATCAGTATGCTCGGGGGTAGGTGTCTAGGGTTGCGGCTGATCACCCTTCCCTTGCACCTAGCGAAATGTTCCCATAAGACCAAGCGTCTAAATAGCCTCTACTGAGGAAGCCCTACTCACTGCCTTCCCGTGGCGTAGGTGTTTTCCCACCAAAGTGAGAGGACGAAATGTCGACATCCGGGGCTATAACCGGGTTGTTGAACCATTGGCAGTTCACCTACGGGAGTTGGCTAAAAACCCTGATTCCCAACCAATCAAGAAGAATGCCACCAGGTGCGTAGCCGGGTTGTGGATAGGGGGATATCTTCACCGAGGAAGGTTAGCTGTGAATAAGTTGTTGCATACCGCAACAAATAAGCAGCCGCGAACAAACAGCGGCGACACCACCCGGGTGTGGTGGGTTTCAGGTTGGTCACATGGCTCCTATTTAAAAGCTGCGTAGGCCCAATGACGGAGTCGTGACAAGGGTTGATGTGAATGGCCTTTTAAAACTAAAGTCATTGAACCCCTCACTTCCCAGGCGGGGGATTACTTCCTGTTGCTTTGCAGTTCATCATCATCGTACGGCGAAATACAGTACAGCAAACTTCACTGATCGCTGTCAAACTCGCAATGCATACAAGATTAGTGGTAAAATTTAAGGTGGACAGGGATGGACCTACTTTGAGGGAGGGAGAAGAAGATGAGCCACTATGGTCAACACACAAAGTGCACAATCGGACCCTGCATACATATTGTTTCAAGCATTCTGACCTGATAAAAAATGGCAACAAGAACGCCACTACTGTCGGTTCGCTGCCATATCCTTCAATGTCTGCAACCAACTAGTTGTCGAGTCTTTCGGACCCCAACCTGGAAGGCGGGAGACACCTACTCTACCTAATGGCTCTGTGCATTTCTTCATGCCTCGTCTTTACGTCACTTGTTGACCTCCACGCGATTTCCTCCAGCCCGAATCAGCTACAGCGAATTAAGCGTGGTGCGGCAGACGATGGCTGGACATACGCAATACGTACCCTATTCAGCGAAGTCTGCCAATCTGAATTCGGTGTGATAGCAGTTTAATCCCTGATTGACTCCCGAACAAACCGCGGCTTACTTCCACGTTACTAACCCGTTCGCTCCATTCCACATGAGCTAAACTGCGTAAACACCGACAATCGAAAACCTCTAGTAGACGGATATCTTCTACTCGCAAATTTAAGGTCTCACAACCATGAAGGAGAACTGAACGACAGATTACACAACACGACCTTCAACTTCAGTGAAACGTTGCGTCTACGCCAAAGGTGTTTCAGTCCTGCGTATGCTGCTCGAGCCTTGGAAATGCGGGCGGTTATCTCCTTTGCTGCGCTACCGTCATTGGTCACGCAGCTGCATAAGTAGGAAAGCAATCCACCGTAACTAATTCCTGACCATTTAGTTTAAAAGCGGGCGCAGGCGATACCCAGTCCTGCAGCATTCATTTGTACTTTGAAGGTGCAAAGCACATACCGAATGGAACAACTGCACTTGTTCGTCTATCAAGTACGCTTTGCGAGTCCTTCATACATTCGAACAGATAGACGAAGTCAACGGCGTATTCGAAATCGCACAGTTTTTCTCCAGCTGTCCATTCAATACCTACGTTTTGGAGTCCCCTTAGTGTGCTCTCCAGTATTTCGTTGTGATGAGCTCCAATTATTGAGCGACGAACGAGAGAGACGGAGAAAACGGACAGCAGGAAATGAGGCTTTAATCTTCTAACAATGTAGGCATATCAGCTGCAACAGAAAGATAGAAACTCTACATTATCCGGAAACAGTGATGCAGTGATATAAAGATCAAAGGTGTAACAAAATCACTACTTTCGTTTACGATGAAATTAAACAGGATCGGTGAAAGAGGGCACCCTTGACCAACGCCGCTACTGGTGACGAACGGCCAACTTAGTTCGTTGTGAACCCCTACACAATCAGAGGTATATGAGTACAGTGACCTCCGTAGGTTAAGGTACAGTTGAAACATTCCTTTTCGAAGGCAGCCCATTAGAGCTTCGCGGTCAACTGAGTGGAAGGCTCCTTTCAGGTCAAGGAACACTGCGATCGTTGGTCGGTGGTGGGTGTGACGCAGATAAAGGACCTGCCGCAACGTAAACATTTGATCAATACATCTAAGGCCAGGTCGGAATCCGGCTTGCTGTTCACGGATGTTGACCTCTCTTAAAGGAGTCAGACGTCGAATTATGACAGAGGCGAGTATTTTGGTGACTATCAGGATCAAGCTAGTCCCGCGGTGATTTTCACAGTCGTTGCGAAATCCGTTCTCGAAAATGGGCACGACTAGTGAGTCGCCCTGAGATGAAGGAATACGCTCTCGCGTCCAAATGTTGCTCAGTACGGTAGTGATGAAGCTTACGAGGTTATCACCCCCATCTGGAAAAGAGTGGGAGGGAGCCCATCTATTCCAGCTGCCTTTCCTCGCTTCACAGNCTTCACAGCTTGAATGCAAGACCGAACTTCTCCTTGCGTTGGAGGATTGCACGACATTACCCACGGAGCTTCACTTGTGGATGAGGTAACCTGGTTAGCGGAATGCCAGCTGAACTTTTCGCTGAAGTATTCTGCCTGGCGATCAAGCCGTTGATCTCTTTTGTGAATAGCTTGTCCACTCTTATCACAGACTGTTTTACTAACTACAGTTCGCCGACTTCCCGTATTGCGTATCAGTTGGAACAATCTGACTATTCTCTGACGCAGCTGCTACTTCCATTTCACTAGCTATTGTTACCCACCAGTTCTCACGGTCCTTCTTGAGACTCTTTTTAAGTTGAATATATACAGCCAATTTCCTCGGGAATTCGAAAAAGTGGGTAAATTCCAAGAACTGCGACATAGCAGGGTAAACAGTAATAGATGCTAATAAGTAGTACAAAAATCGGTTGAAAGTTTTGTGACAAAATAAACCGGATCGATAAAAAGTAGGTTAATCCCGTTAGTTGTTCCCAATATATATAATTATAAACTGTTTATTTATAACGTAATTTACATTTACCGTCCTGCGTACTCTATATGTATCGAAGAAATTTAAATCTTTTATGACGCCCTCAGCTTAATATCGGTGCACTGCATGCGGCATTCAGCCCTTTCAGTGCCATATGTCTAGTTATCCCGAAACTACCTACCTTTCTTCAGGTAAACTTTTTCTGACCCAATTATCCCATATTTATTCCACCATTGTGTTGTTATGTTAGGCTAACCACAGAAATGATTATATGACGTCCACCACAATATATAACAGTTTAGCTATAATAATCACATCATTATTAACCCATTCAAGAAAAACAAAGGTAAACCAGTTCGAATACACTGAGAAGGAAATAACATCTAAAATGAGTGAAATATCTGTTACGGGGTATACTCAAAACATTGACTCCCTTCTCATATTCAAACTGATTATTCGCTATTCATTATTATTATTATTCCTATTCATGATTTTCTAGTGAAAAATGTGAATCATTAGCGTCTGTAGACATCTATTCGTTCGCTGGTTTTTGTTGCCATCAGTGTATATTCAAACTGATTGACCATTGTTGGTCGGACTAAGTTCAACACGCGATACCATAACGTGATTCACAAACCATACCGATGTCCGAGTAGCAATTTAGGATGTAACGTTGCTATGTGGATGATACGATAGTCCGATTACTCCATCGTTTCACATTGTTTCGTACTTTTTGTGATGATTTTGTTGTCATGTGCAGTTCATCCGTGTGATGAAGGCACGCTTGCGGTACAGTCGAAATTTACTGGGTCTGCTAAAGACTCGCAGATGTAGACAAGGTGTGGTTTCTCGCTCGGGTTAGGTGGGCAAGCGCCAGGTTTCTTGTTGCGGTGATCTATTCGATCGATCGATAAATGAACCCGAGCGGTGGTGTGATTTTAGAGCCGGTATAGGAGAATTAGTTCTGAATCGGATGCTGCTTAAGTGTTGGTAGAGAATCACCACAGGAGAATCAGTTGTGGAACGATGCGCCATGTGGGAGATTCGGAATGAAAAAGTTCAAGCGATGACGACACTGGGCCAACGTTTGACTCGTCTAAGATGCACGTACTATTTTTTTTAAGCGGGTTCTCGCCCAAATTTTCCGGCAGGCGTGAGAAGTGAGTTTTCTTAGAAGAAATTCACTCTTGTTCAGTCAAACGAAGGCCATAGACGCCAGCCTACAGGAATTACGGCAACTCTCAGGCGGTTAACGGTTCATAAACTAAAAGTGCATCTCACAAACTGTCTTTAGACCAGGGTTACAATGACCTTTGGCAAGTAACCTGTCTAATTTCATCCGTGCTCTACGACAAGTGAGAGTATCGTTCATTCATTCACACAGGCGTGTCCACGTGACGGTGTTTATAGATCGCTAGGATTTGATATCTCACTCCACTTACCCGCTTACCAGTCAATCACTTAAATTTAAATGTCTTTTTGCTTCCTTTTTCTATTTATTGAATATACAAATGTTCAGTCAGCCTTCAGGAAGGGGGCTGCGGCCATACAAAGACTGCCTGGGGAAAATACAGATATATGGAAGACGGGCAGCGGTGGAGCGGTTTGAACCCGGGTCACTAGTTGGTGACCTAACCACTTGGCCACCACCGCCCGTTTGCACGTTAGTGCTACAGAGCCCTTCGATAGCCCGAATGACCGTGGCTTTGGTGACCCCGGTAGTAAAAGTGACCACATTCGAGTGCCTTACATTTCAGTTCAGTGCCCTACAGAATTGCAAAAAACTTTGCAGATTATAAAGATGTATCTTTAGCAAAATCATAAATCATCGTTTGTCGCAGCTTGGCTCTCCGTTAAAATCAACAAACGCGCTGTTTAAATCAATTGTACACTCTAATAATCGACCTGAGCTCTGATCATTAGCCAAGGCAAACAGCTTCAATTGATCCGATAACTGCTGCGCCTCTCCGATTGAGATAAATTCCGGCGCATTCACTGCCTCCCATTCATCTTCTTCTTTGCGATGCTTAGCTTGGCTCGAAACGAATTCGTTTAATGACTAAAAAGAGACTTGATACAAAAATTTTAAATAGCCCACATCTTTATCATCAAATTCCAAACAGGCGATTTCTTCTTCAAAAAGACGGTCATCAATAGACACAATGAGTTCTCGACCAAATCCCATTTATCCTCAGGTGGCTGCACCACCGGCTGAATCAATGTGGATTTGAACCCTGCTTTCATGAAAGCGTTGATCAGTACGTGCGGGTGAACAGACACCCAAGCTTTCTTGATCAGATGAATGGCCACGAGAATGTCCGCCTCGGCTTTCATGATACGTTGCTCATCTTCGATCAAAGACAAAACATATTCCAGTAAATGTTTCCGAAACGAACATTTGAAAGACCAAATCACGCCCTGATCCATTAGTTGTAACATCGAAGAACAGTTTGGAGACAGCCATGCCAACTTGACGTTGGAAAATACTGCGGCTTGGTTAAGGCAAGGGGCGTTGCCCACACTAGCTTTTCTGAATAGTCTGAGTGCTAGTGTTGCCATGTTCGAGGTGCGTTTTGCACGTTTAAAGTGTAAAATGCTACTACAATATTGGGTTGATCCAGCGCCCAGTCTCACCCTAACTGGGAAGTAGACAAATTTAGCTAGCTGGGTAGCTATATCTCACCCGGCGGACGCATCACAGATGAAGTATCGGCGCGCAAACAAAAGGCTCGATTGGCATTTGCCAACTTGAGACATTTGCGGCGCCGTCGCGACATCCGGCTGTCTGTGAAGGGTCGAGTGTATGCTGCGACAGTTCGGCCTGTTCTGCTATACGGCGCAGAGACTTGGCCACTAAGGGAACAGGATAAAAATATATTGTCGGTGTTCGAACACCGCTGTCTACGTAGCATTGCACGTGTCCGATGGGGTAACCGGACTAGCAATGCTGAGGTTAGGCGCAGAGTTTTAGGCAGTCGCGGTCGTCCACTAGAGGAAGTGATCGACCTCGATAGATTACGCTGGTTGGGACATGTGTTAGGTACGTCGCCAGATAGGTTGCCGCGGCGGACGATATTTGCCAAAGCTGGTAGCGATTGAAAAAAGATAAAGGGTGGTCAAACTAAGAGGGTATGAAAACCCTAACCAGGAGACTAGGTCACATAGGCTCCGTTAGGCTCCCAGGCTGGGGACCTCGGGATGATAGTCACCGATGGTTAGCTACACTAAGTGATATGGCTGGGTGTCGCAAACAGTGGCGCTCGTGCATCCACTCGTTATTCTCCTAACACCACCCTATATGGATTCCCCACCATCCGCTTGAATTTGCTTCGACATTTTAATCTACATTTTGCTCTTTATCCAAATGGGTAACCATAAGACAGCAACCAAAACCGGCGCACGAAAGTGCATGGTTAATGGTTGTGAAACTGAAACTGAACTATTGCCCATAAATAGTAAAATAGATCGCTTTTGAGAAACCATTTGGCGGTTGACATTGGACAGCCAACTGTGAAATAACGTAGAAGTCATCCATGCGTTCTTTGAAGAATCATAACTGCATGGAAGGCTTTTTCTATCTACATTTCAGAGGTATCGTGGAGTTTGAAACTTTCCGATCACTAACGGTTATAACTTTTCTCCAGTCATGCTCCCACAAAGCAGTAACGCGACCCTCTCTTTGGATTTCGTGGACCCAGAAACTGTCTTTCCTTTCAGACTAAGAGTTCTTTCTGGGAGCTGCCGGTAATAAAAAGCTGTTTCATCTACAGTGAAAATAGCACAGTTAGCATATTCTTGCATCAACTGCGGTAACCCCGCTAGAAACTCATCCACTGCATAACGTGGTACCGCTAAAATTTCCCCACAGACCTATAAAGTAAGGCACACGAGTTGCTTGTTTTTCACTTTGTACGATTGAATACTGTATCTGTCTGACCAAGAGTGAAACCAACCTTTGGAAGCCTTGAAGTCATTACGATGCAAACTTTGTATTAGCTGGATTGCCTTCTTACGTACGATGCTCTCCGACATTGGGAACTCTCCGTGCTTTTCCCTCATAGCGATAAACCAAGCCAAATTTGCCTCATTCATTGCCTTGAACTTTTCATTGGTTTTTAGGTAGCATCTTTCCTCAGATGGTACAGCGTTCAAAAATTCCCGGATAGTCGTTTGATGGGATACAACACTGTAGACAGTTTTTCATGAAATTCCAAGTGACTTGGCTACGGAGCTCTGACTTGCACCTAACTGCTTCAGCAACTGATTAGTTGGACATTGAAGGATATGGCAGCGAACCGACAGTAGTGGCGTTCTTATTGCCATTTTTTATCAGGTCAGAATGCTTGAAACAATATGTATGCAGAGTCCGATTGTGCACTTTGTGTGTTGACCATAGTGGCTCATCTTCTTCTCCCTCCCTCAAA